ATGCATTGCCACCTCAGCCAAAATGCCACGTCAGCATACTCTCATCATCATACATACATCCGCTGTCACCACAGCTCCCATACTGTTGCCACAGCCTTCCAGCGGCCGGCCCCTCTACCTGGGCCTCGCTCATACAAACCAGCACCAAAGTATCCTTACTGCACATGAAGCATCGTCAGCGCACCAAGTAACAACCGGTGACAGGTAAGCGGCGATCACGAACCAGCTCTGGTACCAAATTGCAAGGAATATGAGTGTGAAGGATATACAGAAACACCAAGTTGCGAATTCACACATATGTCCAAGTAGTGACCAAGCAGAGAGTACAAACCATCCACATAGAGCAATACAATGAAGTAATGAGCCAATGTTCAAGCCCGTAGGCCACACCAACACAGTATCCAAAGTCGCTCCTCTCTGTCTGGAGCCCAGCGCCCAGCCTACTCTACCCGACCATCCTACCTACAGCTGTGTTCACGCAACAGGCTCACTTCGACTCTCGACTGTCAACACCATAGCCGACCTCTCTTCATGCACCAGGTACGTATCTCGTCACCCTCAGTCAGACCTTGATTACCCCACACTCGCCTCCTTCCCTGAAGACCACCAGATCGCCCGCTTTAACCCCTGGTGCCCAGCAGCCCGGCTATGGCTGTCTGCGCCCCGCTACCCTGCAGCGCCCCACTTCACCTCAACGTGGCCGTCAGCGCCCTTGGCCGCAGCGCAGCATCAAGCGATAGCGCAGCAGCACTTCCACATTGCCTGCACAGGCCAGAATGCCTGGCCTGGGCTGCCTCACTTCTTTTATGGAAGTGGCAGCCTCCTGGATGCTTTGTGTGGCCTGGCTGGAAGCTTCCAGTAGCTTCCGGTTGGGCCTCAGACCCTGCGCCCAGGCCCGAGACTACAATTGAGGGCCTGGGCCCCATTTACAGTTGGGCACGCCCTGAGTCTCCTGACTTGGGCTGTTTGCTGCATCTGTGCAGGGATCCCAAGTAGGTGCGTCGACAGTACTGCTTTTGCGTAGGCCGATGGCCTGCTTCTCCATGTATCGGCCCTGCTTTGTGTGTATGTGCCCAGGTGCAACTGTCAAGGCCTGGGCCAACTGTACCACGCAGCTTAGTGAGGCTCGCACGTCCATGCAACTAACTGGTGTGCTGCAAGAGCCTGAATACCCACTTATGAAAGTGTCAAATTTTGGCCTTTGACGAATATTCAGGCCCGACTTCACTTAGGGCGGGCACTTGGCTAGCTGGGGGCCTTTTCTCGCAATCGTCAAGCTTTGTGCATTGTAACTGTAACCCTGTCCTTTATACCAGGGACCTGCAGACCGCATTGGAGGAGCTCTTTCCCAGCACGCAAGATCCAAATTTAGTCATTACAGACCTGCAAGAATTGTGAAGGACAACTGTAACACTATCCTAAGTACCTTCTGGCTCCCTCATCCTGTTCAGCATTGATGGCCCTCAATGTGGTTGTGTAAAACGGTTTTCGTTCTTTCTTCGCATGGTGTTGTATGGTCGCATAAGTTGTGTCATTCCTGTGATGACAGCTTCGTTTCTATTGTTCTCATGTTCGCCTTTCACATGTGAACCATTTTCATTTGTGTATTTTATTTATGCTTTCTAAGAGTGTGCTCACAGTGATTTCTATGTCAGAATTTGACACAAAAGGAGGAATTTTCTTGCCATGGCTTGGTAGGTGTACTGGTTGGCTTTGTGGTCACATTGGGCGGTCATGCAGGGGGGTTCAGGTAAGATTTTTCCTCCTCTCCTCCTCCTCCCCTTCCCCTGCCGGCTCGTCTTCGTCTCGTACTTTGGCCCTCTGTGCTCCTGGCTTTGCTGTTCACTTCTGGCTTCCTTCCTCTCCTCCTTAATGCTAGTTCTCCTCCATGTGCTGTGTTACAAATTTCCAGAATCCCAAGTACTTCCACCCATCATCTCATTTACACGCTTGATTTACTTGTGCAAAGAAAATGAGCGATAGCAAATGACAGAATTCCAAATTGCAATATCACATTGAAGGTCAGATTGCCGTAACCTGTCCGGAAAGCAGAAATGCACTGATAAAACACCTAAGGAGAACCAAATGCGAGGCTAAAGCCCTCGTTAAGCCCTACTGGGCCCTGTTTTCAGCAAGAAGGGCCGCCCTAAGTGAAGGCAGGCCTGACAAGCGACGAGAGGCCTATTTTGTGTTTCAACGGAGCTGGGGAAATTCAGGCAGTTGCCCCGCGTCAGTTGGTTGAATGCGCCCAGACCCTGCCTGCCAATCTTTCGGGTCTTCAGGCCCTTTTTTTTTTTAACAGATGAATCAGAGGCAGGCCCTGGACCAGACACAGTGCATGAACTGAACACAGTTCGACTGGGTAGTTGGACATGGGTAACCTCCCCAGGCCATGTGGAAGATTCCCTGGGACAGGGGCTCAGCCACTTGGGGCCTACGGAAAGCTTCCTGGAAAAGGCCCAGGCCAGCCAGGCAGCCCACGACTGGCAGTGTGGCATACTGCGTAGCCACACGGGCCCTGCAGGGCCCGTCCTGGACATTCAGCCTAAAGGCTAAAAGCCTAAAACTTAGGGCTTACAGGCCCCGGTCGTTTCAGCCTGAAAGCTGAAAAACGAGGGCCTGCAGGCCCTACTCCGTTTCAGCCTATTTCTGGGTCTTTCATTCCCAGAGTTTTTCCAGCCTGAAACGGAGGGCCTTTTTCAGGCCCTCATCGTTTCGACCGCCCCTAAGACTCAGGCACGTAAACAGGGATGTGGAACAGGCCAGGAATAGCCTGTTCCTCACGAGCTTGAGCAGGAGCTGCAGCGGCAGCCCCTGCCTCCGATCGGCATTGGCAAGAGCAGCCTCCTGGACTGCTCGCCTGCAGTCAGGAGGCACCCGGTAGTACATAGGCAGTTCCCATGCACTTCCCGGGTAGGTAGTCAGACAGTAGTCAGGTGTAKTCTTCAGGATAGCGGAGCAGCACTCAGGAGGAGCGCTGCTCAGGGCAGATAGCGCTAGTGGTAGTCTTCAGCGCTGGGCGCCATAGCTGTAGTCTTCAGCGCTGGGCGCTATAGGGTAGTAGTAGTGATATAGGAGAGAGATGACTGGCGGAGGCCAGTAATACTTACCTGTGGCGCCATCGCTCCAGCTCCATCTTCGAGGTACCTGCACAAAGGCGCCAGCTTCACAGGTTAGTACTGGACTGAGAGAGAGAGAGAGTTCTTCTTCTTCCTCTTCTAAGTCCACCATCTCTTCTTCCCCTGTCGCTGCCTACTTCTCAGTATCTGTGGACTACGAGAGAGAGATATGACCTGAGACTTGACGACATTGGATACAGACTCGACATTTGGGATTCAGACATTTTGACGAGGGACTATTTGGGCCTGTGCCGAAGACTTGGTGTTGACGACATTCCCATCTTTCCCTCCTCTTCGTCTAACCCCCCCTCATCTTCGTTTGTGTATGTGTGGGGCTGGCGCAGTCTTCCTGTGTGAAGCGCCAGACCCCTTTCACACTCTGGGATGATGAGGATGATGTATGTTCTGGACTGCATTGCAACATTGATTGATCAGATCATTGGTATCTAAGTCTTCCGTTTGCGCCATCTTGTACTTTGCATTGAGAGGTCGGTTCTTGTTCTGGTCTGCACGTTACAGTATGCAACAGTTTGGTATCGGAGCGGACCTCTCATTCAGAGGACCCGCTCAATCAAGTAGCAAGCTTGCTTGATCTATTGATCTCATTAGTAAATCAAGTAGGACTTCGTCAAATCTCTGAAAAAAAAAAATTCTCTCGCAACAACTATCTGAAATTTCTGATATTCGCATTTCGTTTTACCTGAAAATTTCTGATATTGGTATTTCGTTTTTATGTAACAAATATCTGAAAATTTCTGATAAATCGCATTTCGTTTTGTCTGAAAATTCCCGATAGTTGCATTTCGTTTCTCTGATATTTCGCGTACATAGCTGAAATTTCTGATCTTAGTATTTCGTTTTCTAGGCATATTGGGACAACGATAGAAGTGGTCAAATTCTCGGAAACCGAAATTATTCTTTTCTGAAAATCGAATTTCCATTCTATCTCGCAAAATTTTTTTGAAACCGAAATCTTGCGAAGCCTACCAATATTGCGATAGGCATATTCGGAGGTTGCTATATTCTCAGAAACTGGATTTCGTTCTTTTCTGAAAATCGCATCTTTACTCCATTTCGCAAATTTTCTTTTTCAAGATTGCAGTTTGTAGAAGCCGAAACTTTGCAGAGCCTAGCCTAGATCTCGTTCATAGTACTCTTCTGACATGTCCTACTCATAATAGATCGACAGATATACAAAAAAAAAAAGAAAAAAAAAAAAGGAAGTAGTCCTCTTTTATTTTTTTTATTTTATTTTTATCTGTTGATTAGGGCGGAGGAAAGTATTGTTGGGTTGGTTGCCTACCTACGTTTTCCCTCCCACCCACCCCTTTGCATGCTTTTCCCAGTTGGTACAGTGCCACGTCAGCGGTGACACGTCAGTGCCACGTCAGCAGTGACACATCAGTGCCACATCAGCAACGGTGACATGTACGCAACAGTGCCACGTCAGCAGTGACACGTAAGCAGTGCCACGTCAGCAGTGCCACGTCAGTCACAGTGCCACGTCAGCATGACAGGGGCAGCCCTGGGCATGCCAGGCCAACTGGCCAACGAGACTCTGGCCGAGTACAAACAGCGGTTCCAGGCTCAGATCGATCTGATCGAGGCTGAGGAAAAGCGCCAGCTGGCAGCCGAGGCTGCCCACGTACAGGCTGAAACAGCGGCAGCAGCAGAGAAGCTGCGGCTACAGGCCGAGGCTGACGTAGCTACCCAGGCAACGAAGCCCAGGATCTGCTGCAGCGGCATGAAGCAACCAGCATTGAGAGACTCAAGTTCTGGCACTTTGAACCGAACGGCGACGAGGCAACAACAAAAGAGCAGCATAAGGAGTTCATGGCCAAGCTCGTGACCAGGTTGGTTTACACTTGTAACCACCTACAGTCCGAGCTGGCGAACCTCCAGCGGGCCGTGCGGAACCATAAGACTCAACATGAGGATGCCACACGGGCACTGGACGCCCGTGTACAGGACTTGGAACAAGTTCCACCAAGACCAGATGCTGGGCCTTCCAGCAGTGCACCCTCTAGCCGCCAACTGGAGGAACTCGTTGACCACGTAGTGGCAATGCTCGGTGACATCAGCACCTTCGCTGCACCGACCACCATCAGCAGTCAGCTGCATACCTTGAAGACCGAGGTCCAGCAGCTGCAGTTGACGAACGCGGATGGCAATATGAAGTTGTACAAGATGCCAACTTTCCAACTGGACAAGTTCGACGACTACACGCAGCAGGATCTGGTCCTCTGGTGGGAAGCATTCACAACGCAACTCAGGATTCTGCCCGTCGCCAAGCACGCGTACATCGGCGCCCTGTTCATGAACTCAAAGGGCGGATGCCAGACCTGGTTGACCCACGTGGCAACCTCCCACGACGTCGACGTACCGGACTTGAAGGACAAGATCACATGGGAGGAACTGACACGGCTGTGGAAGAAGCGGTTCATCGTCGACAACGCGCCAGCACTCGCCATCAACCGTCTGTTCACCATGTCACAGGGCAACACCACAACACGGGACTGGCTCACGGAGTGGCAGAAGATTGCGGCAGTACCCAATCTGGACTTGTCATTCACGCATTTACGCCGTGAGTTCTACAACAGGTCCTGTGCTGCATTGGGCCAGGCTCTTGGTGATCGCGAGCAGTACTCAACCTTCGCTGAGATCATTGACAAGGCGAGGGAGATCACCAAGACCAACAGGTCAGTTGCACACAAGAAATCAACATCATGGCAGCCGACCTATGTGGAGAAGGTACGAACTGGTCCACGACAGCAGCACTTCGCTGCAGTCCAGTCGGACAGTGGAGATAACCCAGCAGCCACTCCAGCATCAGGTGACGGAGATCAGGTGGCTGCTGTCCAGCCGCGAAGCAACAAGTCCCACAACAATGGGAAGGCGAAATCCACATCGCAGGCCGGAAATGGACAGCCAGTACAAGTTCCATGGGTCAAGTTCAACTTGACCGAGGTGGAGTACAAGTTCCACGGCCGTTACGGCTGCTGCTACTGGTGCAACAACACCAAGCACAGACCTCCCTGTGCCAGGATCAGGGCAAGGAGGATGTGCGACCCCGCCTCAACTCGGGAAACTGATTTCCGCGGAAGGTGAGGCGACTCCACCTTCTACTCCGCCAGATTCGGCCGCCTTGCTAGCGGCCTCCTGCACATCTGGGGAGGATGCGAATGTCGCAAGTCCTCGGTACACTTACGAGGATTATGCTGTCCACTTGGTTCCACCGCTGGACCAACCGCTCCATGTGCAACAATCCACCGCATGCACGGTTTCATCACCATCGACAACCGATTCGGCAGCTTCGCCGCAATCTATCGCCAGGGATTCGACGTCATGGTCAAGACTTGAAGAGCTCGACCCATTGACGTTCACGGACTTCCAATGGATGCCCGTTCCCTCGGTCGGACGATTGCCGAAACCGCATTGCAACGTGCTTATGGCACAATTGTGGGATTACTTGCACACTGTAGTACCATCTCCGTTGATGGACGTCGGAGCAAAGGTTGTCGACCTTCACGCCTACATCGCGAAGATCGACCGCGAGTTCAAGACGCAACGGCACGACGACATCGACGCACCATTGTTATACGTACGCATTCAGATCGGAGAGGCGACCTGCAGCGCCATGGTCGATTGTGGAGCTACTCGCAACTACATCAGCCAGGACTTCATGGTGCGCGCCGGCCTTGGCCTACGCGTCCGGAGGAAGTCCCAGCCTACGCAATTCACGTTGGCGGACGGTCACACGCACAAGTCAATCGACCGGTGCATCGACGACGTCCCAGTGTACTTCGACATTCTGGACACCAAATTCGACATGATCTTGGGCATGTCATGGCTGCGAAGCAAGGATCACCCGGTGAACTTCTTCAACCACACCGTTCACGTTCGTGATCGGAACGGAGTATTAGTTCCATGCACAGTGCCTCTTCCTCATCCTTCGATCAGCTACCACGTGGTATTCGCCGCAAGCATGCGAGCTTCCATCATCAGAAACGACATCGAGGAGATGGGGGTGTGTTTTCTCCAGGCCCTCCCGCCCCAAGACGCTTCATCGACGGACTCATCTTCAGATCCACGCATCACCGAGCTTCTCGACGCCTACAGCGACGTGTTCGAAGGCCCGCACGGAGTAGTACCGGATCGGCCCATCCGCCACAAGATTATCCTCGAGGACGGGGCCGTACCTCCGCGCGGTTGCATCTACCGAATGAGCGAGGAAGAGTTAAGTGTGCTYCGCGCACAACTCGACGACCTTCTGGAGAAAGGCTGGATTCGGCCTAGCTCATCGCCATACGGTGCTCCTGTTCTCTTCGTCCGGAAGAAGAACAAGGACCTGCGGTTGCGCATCGATTATCGCAAGCTCAACGCGCAGACGATCAGGAACGCCGACCCTCTCCCACGCATCGACGATCTTCTCGAGCGACTGGGCGGCGCCAAGTTCTTCTCCAAGCTGGACCTCAAGTCGGGATATCACCAACTCGAGATTCGCAAGGAGGACCATTACAAGACCGCGTTTAAGACGCGATATGGGCATTTCGAATGGCTGGTTATGCCATTTGGCCTTACGAATGCCCCGGCCACTTTCCAAGCGGCTATGACCATGGAGTTCCGACACATGATAGATCGATACGTACTTATCTACCTCCACGACATTCTGGTGTACAGCCGGAGTTTGGACGAGCATGTGGAACACCTGCGCTGTAACGGGAGTGAGGCTGAGGGTGAGCCGAGGGAGAGGAGAGAGAGAGGGAGAGAGTGAGAGCACACACACACACTCACTCACTCGACACGACGGACTCGGACTGAGGGTTGGACGCAGACACAGTGGCAAGGCACAAAGTCGAAGTCTTGGATTCCCAATGCCGAAACGGCAAGTCACACTGAGTACAAGTACAGCAGCAGAGAACTGGTACGAGACTGGTCCCCGTACCGTACGGGGAGCCGGTATAAGTACCGGTGACACGTACGGTACCAGGGGCATTTCTG